CTCAGGCCACCCCCCCCGGGACGGGTGGCGGGGTGGAGAACCCCGTGAAGTTGAAGTCCACACATCATAAAAGTTACTGAGGTTAAGAAACACTGGTATAAAGATTGGAGAATGCTGGATTCTTGTAAAAATGATAATACAGCATTTTATACCCCAGTGGTGCCAGCTATAACCTGGATCTGTCTACTCCATCTTAGCTTCTTGTTCTTGGATTTATTTTATATCTTTGCTGGGGCTACAAATTGATTCCTGATTTTCCCTAAGGAAAAAAGTTCAGGACAGGCTTTCTCTAGGGGTTGGGGGCTTGAGTGGGAGGGGGCAGGTTCTCTTTCCTGTATACTGCTTCAAACATGCCCTCCCAACCTTTTGAAAGCAAGATGTGCCAGTGGACATGTTTAGGAATGGGAAGGAAATGAAACCTCATTGAATGGGGTTCCAAATTCTCCTGGAAAAGCCCACCAAGTGCTAAAGAGGGAGAGAGTAGGAATGCAGTATGTGGGCAGAAAATTTGGTATAGAAGTAACTTTTGGTTATAGCTTACATTCTGCTTAGCACAGATCCTTCGTGGGCAGATCGATCGTAGTTTATGTTCTTTTTTTAAGACGTTTAATTAAAAAAAATACCATGGGGGGGTTGAAGGAGGGAGAACAGCATGTTCCCTTCTAGATACCTGATCTTGTTCCTTTCCTTCCCACCTTTCTCCTGTTACTGCTTTTGGCTCAGAGCTGCGCTTTGCCAAGTGTTTCCAAGCCAAATCACAAGGGAAGAAACAGATTTGCATAACTTAGCTTAGTTATTTTTACACTGATGTGAGTTTTTCAAAGCCTACTTGAAAAGAAACCTAATGTGAAAACATGTCGGGACCTCACTGATGCTGGACGGGTGTGTCATGTTATAATGCTGCATTTTCCCCCCTTTCTCTTTCTTTCTGAAACCCAGCATCTTGTGTCTTTCAGATCCTCTTGGCGGTTCCAAAGCAGGCTTCCCGAGATTGACGATGTCACAACAATCATTACCATTCCTCTATAAGACCTAAACATGAAGACTAAATGGTTTTGTAGCTGTGATTATAAAACATGATCTAACTCGTGTGTGTCCGTGTGAATGATCCACCCTCACCCACACACGAAATTATAATAACTTGGCTTTGATTGGAGAATTAATCATGGTTTACTGTTGGAAAAGCTTTACATGATACTAGAGGGTAAGGAACAAAGTTGTAACTTAGAATTCTAGATTGTTCTAGGATCTTTCCCGTATGTTTTGAGCCTGTTTGACTACAGCCAGTTTCACACAACAAGAATTATTATGCTTTATCTAAAGCAGTGTTTCTCAACCTTGGCAACTTTAAGATGTGTGGACTCCAATTCCCAGGAAAGCTGGCTGGGGAATCCTGGGAGTTGAAGTCCACACATCTTAAAGTTGCCAAGGTTGAGAAACACTGCTCTAAAATGACCAGAGCTATGTCAGAGGTATGAAGTCAAGGACATTGTGAAAATCCCATAAAGAACTGACTTCAGTCTCAGAGAATCTGGTATTACGCTTCTAAGGGTCTGCTTTGGCATGGAGCAGATGGTTTTGTGCTACAGATAAATAATCTTGTTTCTCTGCTATAAATAAAAACGAAATGGTTCAATAAATATAATTTTTGTATCTTACAGCTTCGCTGCTTATTGCTGGGAACTTATTTTTCACGTTTCTGCTCAGGCTAAAAGCGGCTGGTGTTTATGGTGATAGGTGAATAAGGAAACCTTTCTCAATTCCTATAATAGCCACTGTATACCTTTTACATTATGTGGGGCTCGAGTGTTTTTCACACCAGTGTTTTTCAAACTTGGCAACTTTAAGATGTGCGAACTCCAACTCCCGGAATTCCCCACCCAGCAAGGCTGTTTCTCAAGTTCCCAGTGTAGCCTACAATTCTGTGTTTTCCTGGTGGTCTCCCGTCCAAGCCCAAGTTTTCTTTTTTAAGCCTAGCCCAGGTCTGCTGTGTGCTACCATCTGATTATGTGAAATGCAGGAAGTGTACCTGATGCCTTTATGGGGATTATGGAAATGAGTGAATATTGGGGGTGCCTTTTCTAAAAGGCTGGGAGGAAAAATGTACAAGAGGAGCAAAAGTAAAGTTTTCTTTATTAAGAAAATAGCCATTTTCTACCGTTTTAAGGCGGTATTAACCTCCTATGTAAGTTGCGGATGTTTCGTTCAGGCATGGCTCATTTTTCAGCCAGTGGTACGCAACGTTCAAGTTTCACAGGGTAAGGGAAATTCAGAGTTATGGTTTCTAACCCAATTAGGGACTAGAAATCGAAAAATTCCATTTCTTTGCCTGTTTTGCTGCAGGAGTATTTTGATGCCTCATTTCAGTAGTAGTTCTGTAACACCAACAGTTATATCGTGTCCAATTTATATAATATAAACTATTATAACATAAATTTTGCCATCATTTTGAATGAGACAACTGTCACATTAACAGAAGTCTTTTAGCTGAAATACAAAGACAGTGGATGGCAATTTCTCGTTACTTCAATATTCTTTAAATATAAACCATGCAAAATATCCCCCAAAACCTCTTCCATCCACCAACAATTTTAAGACACTTCCTTTCAAAAAACACCTGGGTGATTTCAGGCATCATCCTCTGTCAATTGCAGTTTACATTAGGCATTTTTAAAGTCGGAAAGACAGACATCTTTTAAGTGTTTCCATTTTAAATGGGTCAGAAATTTCAATTTTTCCTGAAACGAATCCTTCGATTCTTTCTAAACGTTAGCTTGGGGAAGGGGGAATCTAACCGAATTTACTAACAGAACAAAACAGAAACTGCTTTATGCTAACAGAACAAAGTAGAAACCCTGGAAGGAACACATTAACTCCAGGATAGATGCTAACAGAATTATGGCACAGCCTGTGTTCGTTTCATATCCTGCTGGGTTCCAGAATCTGTGCAAATACTTGATGAACCTGCTTTACTGAAGCATAAAACCTTGAAGCATTTGTGAGGCCATCTGATGGTTACATCTGGATCTCATTTCTACTTTTCAGATCATTTGCCACTTGAGCAATAAAGAGGTCATCAAGAAAAGTAATTGTTCAGCCCTTGGTTAATTACATAGTTGATGGGTTCTGTGTTTTTTACATGCATAATATATATGCATGAAACTGTGCTTTATTAACAATAGGTTCTACGAAGGTGGCCCACACTTTTTTTAAAAATGGCATCAAACAAATTTTTGTGGAGAAAGGTGGGGGGGGTGGGGGGCGTGGAGGCTGCCTCCCTTAAATAAGCCAGCAGAAACAGTATTCTGTGACTGCTTAGGAGGAAGAAATTTAAATTATTTGGATAGCTCACAAAAGAATCCCTGGATTCCAGATCAAGACCTATTTGGGATGTATCTTACTGCATCATTTTCTAGACAGTGTTTCTCAATGTCAGCCCCTTTAAGATGTGTGGACTCTCCAACCCCCGGGGTCCCCCTCTCCACTCCAAAAGGGGTGAAGGGGTGTGGGTGGTTGTCACCCACCATAACATAAAAAAAAATGA